GTAAAATGAAACAAAAAACGTAGCCAATTTTTACGAAAATGGATATTACTTATTAAAAGTGAACACAAAAATGATAAAACCAAGAACTACACGTACTATATACATACATACACAAACAAATTCTTAGATACGTTATTATACAGGACAATGTTTATTTTTTATTTAGAAAATCGCTACTGTGTGTTTGGACGAAAGTCATTACTTTTTCAAAAACATATGTGTTTAGAAATTTTCAACCACTAGATGTTCCACTACCCAACAACAGATAATCCTAGTTCTCAGAGTTCTTTATTAATAAAAGGTAGACATCTTTCACACGTAACAGACCAGTTGACATTTTATGTTCAAACTTTAACACTTTGATATTTCACAGTTATTGTATTTATAATTTATACCTTCAGAAAACAACTATCCATTGATTTATAAAAATAATTACTCATCAAATATTAATAGCATCGATTAGTTTTAAACTTGAAAATAGAGCACCACACAAATGAATATAAGTTTTTAACGATATTCAACGGTTGATTAAATTATTTAAAATATTTTCATTATTTGATTAAAATATTTATAATAAAATAAATTCTATTTACAAACTAGAAATTACTTATTTGAATTGTGTCTAAATAAATACGTAAAGCGAACACCACCAGAGAATAAATTTGTTGTTTAAAAATTGATCGAAGGTTATTTTGACAGAACTTTCCTCACCTTTGAAATATAATCCGACAAATCCCACTTCTTTGAAAAATTATAACATTTAATTTTGTAATTTTGGATTTGTGATAACCTCTATAAAATAAAAATCATTGGCGTAAATAACACCCCCGCAAACCCTGCGCCGCGGGCCGCGGGGAATACATTCCAATGAAATATATCTAAAGCTGTTAACTAGCGGAAAAAAATGTACATATTCTCAATTTCTCAGTACATGCTTAACTTCGACTGTTATGTTTATACTTCGAAAGAATGCGACAATTTGTGCGTTCATATTACACGCAATAGCGATTAAAAGAAAATGAAATTCCTTGATTCTACCTCCATAACGTAGAGGAGAGTACTAGTTAATTAATTAAGCACACTCAGTTCTTTTCCAAAAAACTGGATGTCTATCCGTAAATACTCATAGATTTAAAAAACATGGATTTTTACGATTTACCATGCGTCCAAGTACCTTTAAATATTTGCGAGATTTCACAGCAATCTGTTTTGCAATTTCACAGTAAAATTGTAAAATGTTGTTATTAATTTTCAACTTTTTACCAAAAATCTAGATGTCTAGGGTAAAAATACAACACAGATGCATAATTCACACCTGCAGGAGTATGTAATTCTTTGAAATTTAAGGAACTCCTATTCGGCAAAATGACGATATCATTTTTAAGGGAAAAATTTCGACCAACGATTTACCATGCTTACCTTAACCTTAAAACGTTTGCAAGATTTCAGAGCATTCGGTTTTTCAAATTCAAAGTTAAATTGTAAAATGTTGCTATCCCATATTGATTTTTTTTTTACAAAAAACTGGAACATTTAGACAACACAATCAAAAAATTTGTAGACTGCAATTTCAACCTACAAGGTCTCATCTATATAGTATATTGCAATGGTTGTCTAGTACTCGAATATTTAATTTATTCTTATAAGCCTCTGGTAAGCAAACTAACGTTAGTGAGACATAAGAGAGAAGTGCCTCATTGAGTTCCATCCAATGCTGAACAACCATTGAAATAGTTATGCTGTACTAAATTATGACAAAAATGATAATAATGAAACCCAGTAAGTCACTATCGACCCACTTCTCTCTTATATCTCATAAAATTTAAATAACCTTTACTAATGTAGGTATATTCTGGAGATAATGTCAACCTATTCTTAGTAAGGATGATTTTAACAACAATCGGTCCAGAAGTTTCGGAGATTATCTAATAAAAATTCGGACAGACGGCAGAGAAACAGACAGAAGGCAACGGGATTTCTTCATACTCGAGGGGTCATGAAAATTTGAGAAAACATAAGAGTAGTCATGAACTCGGTTAAAATACTTCCTTAGCTTACGCTCGGGAAGTAAAAAGCAATAAAAACAATATGATCAAGGGTAAAATGAATAAAGATAATAACAGTTAGAATTATTAGATACTGCTTTTTATTGCTTAGCGTCTATATATATGGAGTGTCCCAATTTAGCCATTGAACTCCAATACGAATCTAAGTTATTAAAAAAAATTAAAGTTGGAAATTTTGAAATTTAATTACCACATAGAGGTATGTAAAATAAACGTCCCTTTAGTATTATGAAGTGTGTTTTTCAAATACGTTAAACCGGCTTTTTAAGTGTTTCAAACAACACATTTTTGTTATTTATCGGTGGGATGACCTTTCACTTAGACCCGGTTTACAGCTCAGTTAAATAATTGATTGCGGTAAAATTTTTAACACGGCGTTAAAGTACCACGTGACCGACTCTACGCCCAATCCGACATCGTTAAACGCCTCGTTAAATGCGTGATTAACTTATTCTCAAAAATATTGTATAAATTGGACCTTAGTGTTTTAAAATAATTTTTTTTTTAAACGTGAAACCAAATTATGTAATTACGGGTCACGACTAAAGAAATAAAAAAAAATAGATATCCTGTTGAACGGAGTTAGGTAAGTGATATACTTCATTCTATTTGCAAAGAAAAAGTTGATGCCATTTCCGGAAAAACAAAAAGCGATGTATTCACTTCATGCATTTCTTTGTGTTAATTCATTGCTCTGAGTTTCAAACTTTTGTCTTTTCAGATATCTGAGACATTAAACTGACAAGCAAAATAAATGGAACACCCAGTATATCTGTGCAAGACTGATCAACTAATAAATAAAATCCTTCGAGCAAATGTTTAAACTATTTATGAAATTTTTATGGAAAAAAAAACTCAAAACAAATCTGCTTGAATATTTATATCCGGCTATGCTGTTTAAATGTTACAACATTTTTTTAGTGTCTTTAGTCAACTTAAACCAGTCTGTCCCCTCTAAACCGCAACATGGTAAAATATCTAAGCAAGCAAATCAACCGCCTAATTTTTTTCTTTAAAGGAAGGCAAAACAGGTTTTAAAAGTCTCTAAAATTAAAAGACTCACACATTACGTATCTCATTTATTATTATTATCATTGCTAATAGATAATTTTGGGCATATTATTTTTTAATTTAAATTACCTGTGACTCTTAAATGGCAACGAACTAATTGTTCGTCGCCATTTAAGAGTTACAGGTAATTAAAATTAAAAAATAATATGCCCAAAATTATCCAGTTTTTCAGATGAATGACAAAATTTGATTCCATAAATTTCATTTTTTATCATTTGAAAATGATATATATTGATACGCTAGAAGAAAAAAAAGGAGATTCTTTATGAAAGCAGAGGCACGTCTGTCACGCATATTGTGGCACTAATATCACCAATGCTGTATTTTCTAATCTTCAAAAATCCATGCCTACCTTTGATCGTCTTTTTTATTGTTCTTGTAGGTAAATAATAGAAAATGGGACTTTTACAGCTGCAATTATGTGCAAATTCCAACACATGAAAATTTTGGTGTACGATCCATCTCCGGATACAAATTTTGAACTACTTGCAAATTTTGTTACATAACTATACAGTTTTTTTAAGCTGGTTTCACTCTGATAATAATTTATTTTTTTGTAAAATTTTCAAAAAGCTAGAATAAAACATGATTTTATCCTGAATGAAGCATTCAACAGTATTTTTTGCCAGTGATTTTGTTTAATCAACAAAAATAAGCATTTTTTTTTTGACAACCAATTTTGTTCATGGTAATTACTGCAATTCTTGTGTTCACAACTTGTTGTAAATTGTATACGGTGTAATGCATTGTTTAAAACTGTTAAAGGAAAGATGTACCGCTAGAGATTTATTGAAACACTATTTGTGAATCGAATAAATATTTTTTGGGTATTTGAATTTTGTTTGTTTCCCTTAAGTTTGAACCTGCAGTTCAAAATTTTTAGATTTGACTTTTTAAAAAATTTTTGGGAAGGCTAGATTACAACGTGATCAATTTTGTAAATCTTACATCGCAACTTTAACATTAATTTTAAGAATTTGATAATTTCTACAATAAAAAAATGTTTGTGGACAAAATATGTTAGCCAGGGAACTAAGTATGAGGCTATATATAGAATATAGAGACACCAAAATTTTGCTACCTGTATTTCCCACCATTCTGTATTTATAATTACTTGCCTCTCAGAAAGCAACGAACGAAATTTATTTTGATAATTTTTTATCGTCTTTAGTGTTTTTTTTTTAAGAGACATCGTAAAGTCTCATTTTCTACTAACAGAAATGTTGTCTCTGTGGTAACATATGTAATTAATTTTTTGTAAAAATTTTTATAACTACTATTTATCGCTTACCCAGCTACCAGCTTTATTTACTTATGTATGTACATACATATTTACTTAAGTCCGTATTTAAATTTTTGACAACAATCTCTGAGAGACAGATATATATATGCAACAGTTAAATAACGCTTAACATCTGTTATTATGACCGCTGCAAAGCTCCTTTTTCGTCTCTGCAGTCTTAATTTATCTCTTCCTGAAATTTTGTACTTGCTAAATTGACCTAAATTGTCGCAATTTAAAAAACCGAATAATATCCTTTAGCAAACAAATTAAAGTATGTCTGCTATTCCACAATAAAAATAATTACCCATAAAAGCATAACTCTCACACATATATTAAAGATGAAATTTATTACAATTACTTCTACTACAAAAGCATTCCTGTCGTAACTCCGTTTGACATGACTTCGTAAAGTGCACATAATTCAAATTACATAACCGCGGTTCATTTACACAAAGAAATATTTTCGGAACAATGTTTCCTGCTACACAGCGCAACAATTTACGAATGCCTGAGAAAAAAGAATGTTAAAAAAAAAACGAAAAGTTTTGAAGCAGACTAAGTTAGAGCCACGGACTTACCCCGTGTAAACCATGAGTCATTTCACGTCTGATACAATACGAAAACAGCAAATCGAAGTTCTGCTTCGATTCGAATTATGCGGAGTCTCGTCTAGAAAGTTCGTAACACGTGAGGTTTGAAGTTTAGAGCACAGTCTGACACAGCGATTCTTGCGTGGTGTCGTATCGTGACTGCTTTCGGTCTTGGGTTCAAATATAAAAGTTGCTTTCGCGCCATGACGTGCCCTCTGTCGGAGGACGCCCGCACCGACGCCGGCTGGAAAGTGGCGACGCCTGTGGAAGCTTTCTGTTGTATGGAGCTTTTTATAGCTTTCGAGCTTTGCGGATTTGGCACGTGCAGCACTCTGTGAGGAATAGCGGCAATGACAATGACATTATTTCGTGAATAAGTTCAGTGTGGCGTCGTTTTTAAACTACTAATCCGTTTATCCTTTCAAATGATCTTTATTTCCTTTGTTGCGGTGGACACGGGATTTAAAAATAAACAGACAGTATAAAATAGATTTTGTTCATTTTTCAGTAATAAATATAGTGGTGTTAACTGTCCTAAATTTTATTAATTCTGTAAAACAGAGATTTGAAACCGGTGCACGTGAAGGAGTGAAAATAGATTAAATAAATACTTGATGTTTTTAACCCTTAAATCAATGGAGCGCAGTGGTTTAAATGTGATGCATGGTCTAAAGACATTTTTAACGTTGAAGGTACACGAAAGTGTGACTAGTGCAAACAATTAGTTTCAAGACATTATTTACTGTAGATTAATTTGAATCTAAAAAATGTCCTCATTTATTTTTTTACTTTAATTTGCATGTTAATAAATTTCTAATTTTACAAGTTTTGGGTGTTAACATCTCGTATAATAATTTATAAGAAAAACGCAAGCTCTCCGTTTCTGTTTGTCTACTGCCTGCTTTCAGTTTGGTTTATTTCACAAAAAGCCAGAGCTACCGATTCGATTGTTTTGAAATTTTTGGTGAACTAATTCCAAACAAGTTTTTCTATTTACCTCTGAAAATTTGATGGCGTCAACTTTTTTGCATTAGCAAATTTTATGAAAGCATACAACGGACTTTTCGGATAATATTATTAGAAGATTATTTTGAGGACACGACTGAAATTTTCTTGAACACAGGAACGTTCTGTACTGATGGAAGCACCGTTTTATTTATTGATCATTTATTTGAGTAATTAAAGCAATTTCCTTGAAGTTCTATTATGCTAGTAGAGTTACGTTATGCTTAGTGCTACATGCTCAAAATTTTGCACAGTAAATATTAGTTAAATTGTATAGAAAAAGGTAGTCCTACACCTGTGATTTATGAATTCGCCTTGATTTTTTACCAAAAGCGTCCAGATTTTTGGAAAAAAATTAAAACTACATATACTTATCAATGTTTTAGAGTTTAACTTTGAAACTGCAAACCGAGTGCTGTGCAATCTTGAAAATGTTATCTATACTTGTTTTTTATAAATAGATACATAATTTTTAAAGCTGCTTAATTGCACTACTCCAAATGGATATATGTATGTGTCCTTGCTAGAACAATTATGATATCACCACAAAATTTTATTACGAAAAACTCACTTGAAACATGCTTATAGCGTGCGTCTTTGCCAGTACACTACAGTTCATAAAAAATGTTAACAAAATATTATTTATTCATACACTCCAAATATTGACATATCTCAGAAAATTATTAAATTAAGATTTATTAAAAAATATGCTTTGAAATCCTATACCTCTGATATTAGTTTCCGCGACTAGCTTGAAAGGATAATTTTATTTAGTTTCACTGAAATTCGTTGAGGACAGCAGAATTAAGCTGGTGTTACGAAAGATTACAACTCTTTATTAAAAAATGCGTTCTGAAATTTATGCAGAATTGGTTGTTTCAGAGACGAGAGAAATTGTATTTACATAAATTGAGAACGACTTTTTAAAATTAGACATAACTACATTAAAAATGTATTTTTCTGCACCCGTTAAAAAATAGTAATATTTATATATCACCAACGGTATGCAGAATTATCATTTGCACCCTATTTAAAAAAATTACGGTGAAGAAATAAATCAGGATATGTTATTACAATGACATCATGAAGATTAGATAAGATATAAATTGAGTGAAAACGATATGCAAAAAGAGCAACATTTTAATACGTAATTATTTTATTTATGTTATATGTGATAAAGCACGAACAACTCAACAGTGAAGAAATGCACTGGTCTTTATCAAATCAGTACACATTAATTCTGCTCAATTATTTAATGTTTAAAATACATTTATGCGAAATAGTTTTGTATGCAACTTGTTAGTAAAATTTTGTTGGTACACTAATTTTTAACGCGACTAGGACACAGAAGAAACTAACAAAGTGATATAAATTTATTTGAACTGAATGAACTTTACTCGTCGCTGAAGTACAATCAATTAAACAAGCTAAATATTTTTTAAATAAGTTATAAATTTGATTATATTTATTACTTCCCGAGCGTAAGCAAAGGAAGTATTGTAATCGAGTCCGTCGGCCGACTCTCTACTTTTACGTTTTCTCGATATTCCATGACCCCTAGAAGACGAAGAAATAGGTCTCCCATTTCCGTCTGTCTGTCCGTCTGTCCGTCTGTCCGTCTGTCTGCCGCCCCGGATTTTTATTAAACAGATAATCTCCGAAAGTACTGGACTAATTGTTGTGAAATTTTGGACTTATATTAGGAATATCATGTAGATGGTAAAACGCTAACCAAAATTTGTCTAATCATCCCCACCACAAATACGATGACGTCACTTCAAAATTGTACATAGTAAATGGGTTTTAAATTGTATAAAATTACATAGTCCTACACATGTAGTTTACGTCTCCGAATTGAGTTTTTACCCGAAACGTCCAGATTTTTGGAAAAAAAATCAAAATTATGAAACAACATTTTGCAATTTAATTTTGAATCTGCTAACCCGAATGCTTTGAAATGTTGCAGATGTTTTAAAGCTATAAAGAGCATCACAAATCTTTAGTCAAAATATATTTAGTTATCCCCTCCAAAAACTTGATGACGTGAGCTCAAAAGTTTGCCGAATAAATCCGATCTAAAATGTACAAAATATGATGAGTCTGTACTTGTGATCTATCACTCCATTAATATTTTTTGGATTTGGATATACAGGATGACTCAAAGAAATTCATGAATGCGTAAATGTATTTTACTGATTTACTCAGGAACTACAAAACCGAATGCTTTGAAATCTTGAAGATGTTTAAAAATTATCATAAGCATGATAAATTTTTGATCAAAATGTATTTGGTCGTCCCCCCTAAAAAAAATATGACGTCACCAATAAATCTTGCTGAATAAATCCTATCTAAAATATACAAAATATGGTGAATCTCTTCTTGTGATTTATCATTCAATTCAAATTTTTTCGATTTGCATATACAGGATGACTCAAAAAAATTAATGAATGCGTGAATTTACTTTATTGAGTTAATCAGGAACTACAAAACCGAATGCTTTGAAATCTTGCAGATGTTTTAAGGTTATAAAAAGCATAATAAATGTTTAGTCAAAATATATTTGCTCATCCCTCCGAAAAATTGATGACGTCAGCTCGAAAATTTGCCGAATAAATCCTGTCTAAACTGTACAAAATATGATGAGTCTGTATTTGTGATTTATCACTCCATTAATATTTTTTGGATTTGCATATACAGGGTGACTCAAAAAAATTAATAAATGCGTAAATTTATTTTATTGATTTACTCAGGAACTACAAAACCGAAAGCTTTGAAATCTTGAATATATTTTAAAGTTATCATAAGCATGGTAATTTTTTGATCAAAATGTATTTGCTCATCCCCCCTAAAAAATTTATGACGTCACCACAAAACTTCTTGTGATTTATCATTCCGTTCATATTTTTTCGATTTGCATATACAGGTGACCCAAAAAAAAGAATGCGTAAATGTATTTTATTGATTTAATCAGGAACCACAGAACCGAATGTTTTGAAATCTTGCAGATGTTTTAAGGTTATATAACCATAATAAATTTTTAGTCAAAATATATTTGGTTATCTTCTCCAAAAAACTGATGACGTGAGCTCAAAAGTTTGCCGAATAAATCCTATCTAGAATGTACAAAATATGATGAGTCTGTACTTGTAATTTATCACTCCATTCATATTTTTTGGATTTGCATATACAGAGTGACTCAAAAAAATTAATGAATGCGTAAATATATTTTATTGATTTAATCAGGAACTACAAAACCGAATGCTTTGAAATCTTGCAGATGTTTTAAGGTTATAAAAAGCATAATAAATGTTTAGTCAAAATATATTTGCTCATCCACTCCAAAAAATTGATGACGTCAGCTCGAAAATTTGCCGAATAAATCCTGTCTAAACTGTACAAAATATGATGAGTCTGTATTTGTGATTTATCACTCCATTAATATTTTTTGGATTTGCATATACAGGGTGACTCAAAAAAATTAATAAATGCGTAAATTTATTTTATTGATTTACTCAGGAACTACAAAACCGAAAGCTTTGAAATCTTGAATATATTTTAAAGTTATCATAAGCATGGTAATTTTTTGATCAAAATGTATTTGCTCATCCCCCCTAAAAAATTTATGACTTCACCACAAAACTTCTTGTGATTTATCATTCCGTTCATATTTTTTCGATTTGCATATACAGGTGACCCAAAAAAAAGAATGCGTAAATGTATTTTATTGATTTAATCAGGAACCACAGAACCGAATGTTTTGAAATCTTGCAGATGTTTTAAGGTTATATAACCATAATAAATTTTTAGTCAAAATATATTTGGTTATCTTCTCCAAAAAACTGATGACGTGAGCTCAAAAGTTTGCCGAATAAATCCTATCTAGAATGTACAAAATATGATGAGTCTGTACTTGTAATTTATCATTCCATTTATATTTTTTGAATTTGCATATACTGGTTGACTCAAAAAAAACAATGAATGGGTAAATTTATTTTATTGATTTACTCAGGAACTACATAACCGAATGCTTTGAAATCTACTGCGAAAAGAAAACGTAATAGGCATGCAGTCATCACGTTTCCGACAGCGTGGGAAGTACTGTCTAAACTCTTTAGACCAATTTTTTACTATAACCGC